GATGAAAGCTGCAGTTAAACAGCAGCTTCATCCAAGAATGTGAATTGAGGGTGTTTTTTTTAGCATTTGATAGACAGTTGTCCACGTGATAAATATCTAGCGTTTTTGCTGTTGAACTGAACATACAAATGACACCTTGAATCATGTGTGGAATTATTCTTGCCTCTTGGCTGCTGACCCCAAATTTTTCATGAAAAATTAAACTACATGAAGATGGCTTATCTTGTTAAAATGGTGCTGCTGTTTCCAATCACATTCCCATAATGTGTAGACTTGTTGCGGATTTCCAATGCCTTTTATCATCATTAAATCCATATACATGGAGTTATTCCAATACTATTCACTCGATTCATATCCCTATATTTCGTGAAGGTTGTATAACTGGGAAAATTGTAAGAGGGCTTCTTAAAATGTGTAGTTATACACAGAAGGTAACAGGTCTCATCTTTAAAGGAATGGAAGAATTAAATACAAAATTCATTTACTGCTGTTGAGCTGAATTTGGTACTTGGTAGGCAACATTGTGTTTTAATAATAGTATTTGGTTTGGCTTTCTCTTCTCTTCTATTTGGGGTAACCCTTGTGTTGCTTGTTTTGGTGGGATGAGAACCTACCAAATGGCCATGTCAGCCCTGGATGATTTTGGCTTTGTGTTGTCAACCAGTTCAGACGTGACACATTAATTTTTCCTCACAATAGCTTCACTGGATTATTGTGCGTTCCTGCCAGAGGCCATTCAGAAGGGTGTCCCATCCCCAAGTGCTGATTTTAACACTAACTCAATTACTGTTGATAGAGTGGGAGAGTCTGTATTTACAAAATACAACTCTTGCCACACGTCACCAACTCTACCCATGTGTGGGTAGAGAATCAAATGAGCCCATTTTGATTGCTTTTCAGACTGGTACATATCCCACAGGGTCAGAGCCTCATTAACAAGAAGAACATGCAGCCACAGACCAAAGGGATTCAGAGGGTGTAACTAATTGATGTGCAGGGATTGTAGGTCATATCTTCATGAGACACCCAGCGATGACAGAGAATGATTTAATTCGAAACAATCAGCATGCTTCATCCGGGGGCTGCCACAGTGCCCCACTAACCTATGCATCGTAATAACCTCTGCTTTGGGTATCGATAAAGGATGCTGCCCTTTGGGATCCCACAGGAGCGAGTGCTGTCAGCTGACAGATGAGAGCGCGCAGGGCAGTGGGGCTTCTCGCTGCTGCAAAAAAGTAGGTCATGGCCAAAAGTAGCCTTGGCTGCCTTTGTGGAAGTGTGCCTGTGAGAGAAGAGTCAGCTGAGAAAAGAGCTTGCATGGGTTTTGCGTTTATTTTTTTAGCCCTTCCTTGCTGTGGAGCAGCTGGCACTATGTGCCATGAAATGCGTCTGCTTTCCAGTATTCTTGCATAAAATATTTTTAGAAGTGAGTATGCAGCTCTTATTTCTGCTTAGGGGAAGTGGCAGATGCTTGTGGCCTTTCATTTTCATTAAGAATTTAGAATTTTAATTAGATCAAGTGTTTTTAATAAACATTGGTTTTTCTTTGCTTTCTTCACTGGAGATTGGCTGAAACTGGATGATAGGTGTGTCAGGGAAACTCGGGTTGGAAACAGTTTTGAACTTGAGCTGTGTATGCAACATTTCAGCTCTCATGCTTTATTAATAATAAGAAATACATGAAAACAAATACTTTATCTCATTTTAGGACTCATTCACTCCCGCTGTCTCTTCCCGTGAAGACTGGCGCCTGTTTGTGGCATCATGGTCATTTCCATGGCAACAAACTGTGCGGTGGTGCTTGGAAAGCTTTGACTTTCAATAGAGAATAAATAAAAGCAGATTCACCCACATGCAAGATAATCCTGTTTTCATGTGAAATGAAGAACTTCAGCGAGAAAAAAAATAGGATGCAGGTTTCCTATATCATATTCTTTCATAATTTACTGTGTAATGTATAGGTCTTTCAAAACTGGACCTGCTGGAAGTCCCGGTGTGCGGCCTGGACTCCGTCCTTTGGAGCTGCTCCATGTGCAGCTGTCCGATCCTGCAGCCTGGTCTCAGGCACTGAGCTGCCTTTGTAGGCCATGGCAACCTTTCGTAGCAGATCATGGCCTGGTTTTGCTGTTCTGGTGCTCCAAAGATTTCCTTTGACAGAACACTCAATCCGCCTCTTGTCTTGCTGTGCATTAAGACATGTCAATCAACTTCTCAAAATATTTTTGAGGTGTTGCCCTAATTATATTTCCCCCACATATTTTCTCATATACAACTCTCGGTCCCTTTCCATCCCTTTTCATAAATACATTGCACAGACAACATCTTTTATCAGCAGTGGGAAGTTCCCTTGTGATACGGCGTGGGAGTGCTTGGGCATGAAGCTGTTCCCAGCTGAGCCGAAGCGCAGAGCTGCTCCAAAGGGTGTGAGCTGATGTGCCAAGGTCACTTCTTCCACACAAGCTTGATAGGAGGGCAGTCTGCAGCAATAAAAGTTTCTAATGTTCATTCAGCCCTTCAGTATAGAATTTTCTTCCTGGAGGAAGAGTCCAGGCAGTGCGTGTATTTCAACTCCTATATGAAAATCACTATTTTTTTTATTTACTGTTGACATATAAGACTGTACAAGTGCTGGTCTCAGTGGGAAGCAGATGCCAGCATGAGCAGCTGATGCACCATGGGTAGCTGATGCTGAAAACTAACCTTTTTCCGTATTATGGAAAGATGTGACCTGAAATACCATACTATTTCCCTGGGTACATAGTAAGAATCTGACGACTTGGCAGCACTTCTAACGATACATCGTACGTTGACAGATGAAGCAGTGTACTGCAGCTTTTGCTACCTTTAAAGTCTGTACAGCAGTTTAGTCTGTCTTTTCCACTAAATTTCTGTCACGGTATAAATCTGAATCTTCGGTCATGCTAAACTGTTTCTTAGGGAACTGTTTCCATTTTTGTTTAAAGATGATCTGATCATATGTTTTGGGGATAGCTCAAGTCTGCCAGGAAGGTAATTTAGAGGCCTGCCTTCAAATTATCAATGTTTCCAGCAGTTGTGTGGCTAAAGAAGCTTTTTCTGGAACACAATTTTGGGGCTGTTGCACATGTGCACAGATGGATGTTGCTTTGTGTTAATAAGTTGTTTAGGTTGAACAGATCTGTCCAGGATCATATGTTCATTTTGGCAACTCTGCTGTTCCCCTACTGCTGCTTTGACAATTTTGTTCTTGTAAGAAGATAAATAAATGAATAAAGCTCTGCATTCACTTAGTCATTTCAGATGCTACCGTTGCCTTTGCTGTCTTTCTTTGTACCCCAACAGTGTGCAGATGTTGGGATTTTGGGGCTGGTTTTGAGAATCCACTTAAAGAAAAATAGCAGCACTGATCTTCCATTGCCTAAGTAAATATAACCTGACCTCGCCTCATTTTTCCCTTCCCATCTTATTCCTACTAGCCCTCATTGCTCTTCCTGCTAACAAATTAGAGAGATGGTTACCTTTCTGTCAGCAAATGAGCCTGCCAGTTGGCTGAACACAATTTGATAAGTACCTTCCTATAAACGAATGAGTCCAGCTGTCATAACGTGTACTCTCTGAACAAAGAATATGAATTTTGATTCGGCAGAAAAAACCCACTGACTTAGTTTCACGTGATTTTGTTATTGCTCTTTGCCATAATGATTGAACTAGCAGTGTCGGCACCGTGGCTGGCAGATCTCCACTTGTAGCTGTTTATAAAGAGCTGTCTGGGTTATAAAAACCTCCCTAATCTATTCAGGTGCGTGGTTTGAGAAGAGAACCGATTGTTTCTTTTAAAAGGCCTGTGTTGTGTGTGCTTGATCGATTTGGCAGTGAAACTGTCTCTTGACAGCTGATACAATCAAAAGGTTTGTTGTTTTTTCTGTACATCTGAGATCCTGACTCAACCTGGCAGCTGGCTGGGCTGGACTTTGTTTCCAGCTGGGTGCCCCAGTTGAGCACTACCTGACCGTCCTGGCGGGCTGTGCTGGTGGGGTGACCCGGTCGTGGTATGCCCCGTCATGCCAGCAGTGTGCCCAGATCAGACACTGACCCTGTTAAATGACTGGCATACGTGGGCCTGCCCTGTCATGTTACTGAAGGCTCACTGTTATTTTGGGTGTGCTGGCAGCTTTCATGTCTTAGGGAAGGCTGTGGGGAGGGAGCAGCCTGATCATCATCCAGAAGTGTTTGCCAGCCCGATAGCTCTTCCTTCCCCACGTCAGAAAGGCCCTCTGGAGAGAAGGCAGCAGAAAAATGCTGTAGACATTCTTCTGGTGAAGCGTGGGAGAGCAGGAGCTACCTTAGTTTGTGATGTCCTCTCTGGGGTCAGAGAACGTTCCCCCAACCTCGGCTGCCATCTCAGTCCCTCTTCTGTGGAATTGCGACCTGCGGATTAAGTGGCGGAAGATCCCATCGTGGGATCCCTCCCTTCATGACCCCAAGTGCCTCCCCAGAGAATTTGTGCCTCTGCTTCTCTTCATTATTACTGGTTGTCATGGGGGCTCTGCTACATATTTCCTGAAGTAAAATAAAAATTACAGTTATTTCAGAAAAGGTAGCAAGCTTGATTACCAAAATGGTTTGCTGGCTTTACGACTTTCATCAGAGGTCTATTCTGAATTGTCACTTCTGATCAGCAGGATTGATTTTTGCCGCGTAGCTTTTCACGCGAACTCCCCTTTCAGTTTGCGCTAAGACAGTTGTGCAACTTCTCGAGCTTATTCACTCTGTTAGCGCTGTACTGTGTCAAACTACAACACTGTAAATAAACATATCCCCGTTCTCAGGCTCAGTGAGCCTTGTTTTTTGTGGGCTGTCTGTGACTTAAATTCCCACGGTTCTGATGATTCAGACAATTTGCAATATATTATTAATAAATTATGTACTATTAAAATCCTAACACTGATGTTACAGTTTCCTTTTATATCCACGGTTAGATTCTGTTGTGATTAATTTTTTTCATGCTTCATTTTCTTTAGAAACTAGATGCCAAATCACTTATAAAGCTGAATTTTGCTAAAAACAGTGAAGGTAAGTGCAGTAATTTTCTGTGGGGATTTTTTTTTTCCTTAATGAATGCTTTAATAAATCCTGGTTTGTCTTACTCACGATAAAGTTATGTAGTTTGTGTCCTCTATCATGATTTTTATTTTCTGAGTAGGATAACTGCTTCTAGTGAGTGACAAGTTTACCTTTAAAGTTCCATTTCTGTTTTTCTTTACGCTGGGGAGCTATAAATTATTTAGCAATTTCACTTTACTATAACTGCTACCACAGTAAGGTACTGTTTACTTCAAGGAAAATTTTCAGAAAAGACTAAATTACTATGATATGTTATCTTTTTTCTAACTTGCCTATGGCAATATTTGCTGTTCACTTGGGTTTGAGCAACTTTTTGTTTATAAAATGAATTAGACTTAAATGAATACATGGGATTTTATGAATAGCAGCACACAAGACAGCAGCCTTGAGTTTTATTTCTGCAGGGTTAAAGATATAAAATTTGCCATTTAAGAGAGGATGCTAGGAATAAAAGAGAAGAGTGGAGATGAATTAATCTTTTACAAGGCAGATAATGATTTCTTTGAAATGAGAGTGGCAAGGATTAGGTGGGAATAAAATTCTGGAGTGTCTGTCTCCTTATCTTACCAAAGTCCATGGACTATAAGGTCTTTTCTCTAGCTGATGGATTTCTTCTGCATTTTGTGTGCCATCTGTCTCAAGGGCAGGGTGTTAAAAAATGATCAATAGTCACTGTGGCCAAGGTTTTTGAAAGATACTGGCATATTGTGCTTTCCTTAAAGAAATCCGGTCATAATGCTGGGCTGGAATGACGGCAGCCATGCAGTCTGAGAAGCCTTCTGCTTAGAAAGGTGCATGCTGTGTCATTAACGGATCAAGGGAAAATGCAACAAAAGAGGAAGACTAAAATGTTGCATTTCTGTCTATCAGCAAATTTTCTTTAAATCTTAACATGCAGAATGGTTATTAGGTATGTGGGATCTCCTCAGTTCACACCTATATGATAAAAAAGGTCTTCAAATGTTGCAGTTTCTTCCATTTAATGATCCCTCCTTAGCTGAGTACCTTCTATCCAGATCAACAAGTGTGTGCCCTCAGCAGCTCTCCTTTTGCTAGAACTGAAAACATGATGATTTGCTCTTTTTTATGCAGCTGGAGTGAGGCGTTGCATTTTACCAGCGTGTTTCTGTATCTATCAGTTGGACCATACCCTGACGCCACTACCAAAAATCCTATTCTAAACTTCATCTTGAATTTCAGTCCCTTGTGGCAATGGCTTTCCTTCAGCTCTGGTGGCATTAGCAGAAACAGTCCTCAGCTTTTACTTGCATCTACCTGCTGGAGGTCAGAGTGCGTCCCCTGACTGATCAGTTAGCGGTCAATACTCTGTAGGTGCTCGCCTCTCCTGTCTTTACAGGTGCTGTGAGGAGTCTCTGTTCGCTCTCCCTGCTGGTTTTGATTTTCGGATGGTAATTGGGGAAAAAAAGAACCAAATAGGCCCAACCTATTTCAAAGATCTTACCCAAATCCCCAGGTCTAGCAAACTGATCAAGTATTAATAACCTTCTTCTAATTGCTTTCGGCTGAGATCATCCAGACATTTTTCTTTTTCCTTGTACATTGCCTTCTATCAGTTTGCTTGTTGTTGACATGCTTAATATTTATGCTGACCCTCCTGGGAAAATTCACAGCTTGATTAGAGCAGAAGCTGGGTTCCTTATTGAATAACGTGTTCAGATTTAATGGCGTTCTGCTTACCACATTTGAATACAAAATACTCTCCTTTCCTAAAAGCACAACAGCTGCTGTGAACTTTCTTGTAGGATATAAGCTTAACTTTTATTCCCGGGAACAATGCTTAAAATAGAGTACTGGGCACGTTACAAGGTACAGACTCATGCTATCAATAGAGCTTTGATTACAACAATAACAATTGTATTGTGGTACTTCATAGATATCAAGCAAGTTGGACAAAGTTTTGTGTTGGGGGATTGAAGGCAGTAGATTTCAAAACTGCATTTTCATTGCTTGCTGTGTAATTCTCTTAACTGTTACTTTTTCTGTTTGGCACTGAAGAATCAAAGCGTAGTTAAAACACCATTAAATACACACTGAAGTTACATTAATTTTTAATAGAAAGTGTAAATGTCCTTCACAGAGATAACAGAAATTAGCTATTTCAGAACAGTTGCAGGGACTTCAGGTGAGATTTAAAATTTTTCCCCTCCCTCAGGTAAATACCACTGTCCAGTGCTGTTTACTGTATTCACCAATAACTCCCATATTGTGGCCATCAAGACAACTGGAAATGTGTTTGCCTATGAGGTAGGTTCTTTGTTGCATTTCATTATTAATATTTTATACTTGATGCATTTCGTTCAAGATCACAAAATACTTTAGAAAGATGGGTAAGTTTTATTCTTGTTTTACAGCCAGGTAAATTAAAGAGAATGAACTAACTTTACAAATTGTTGTCCAACTTTTACCTTCAAAATATGAACAACCCTACAATATGATTTAAGAGATATTTTTAAAACATTTTCCTAAATTAATCTGTGTACACCGAATCTTGTAGACCAAAGTGAGTAGCTTTTATATGCTTCTCAGTTGAATTAATAGACAAATTTTCTGTTGTCTTCTTTCTGGTAGAGTCATCACCAAAACACAAATTGCCTCGTTTCTGTTCGTATCAATGAATAAAAAAAGAGTATTTTAACTGGAGCTGGGGAAAAAGAGAGAATGCGTTAATGGACACTTGAACTGCATTTTTATTTGTGTTTTGTGAACATTTGTGTGAACCTAGGTGGAATTTTAGTTGTGACTTGTTTGCATAATCCTTACTGTAAAATCAAAGTTTATTTATTTTTCAGTAGCACATAAATCCTTTAATTAATGGATCCATATCCAGTGTTGTAAGAAGTCTGAACACTGAAACATCTGCTTTTTGAAATCTATTGATCGGAAATTCGGGTAGCACTTTCAGATACCAAGAGAGGAACAAACTGCAATCAAGGAAAAGGCTGGATTCATCACATTTTTGAAAACTTGCTCTGTTGTACTTGAAACTGTCTTCATTCCAGCTGTGAGAGCAGTCAACATTAGGTTAAAATAGGTGCTTTCTGCTCCTTCTGGAAGGAAGGATGCTTTGATTGCTGTGGTTAAAAGGCAAGAATGAGTTTAAGAGTAGTCTTTGTTAAATGCTCATTGATATAGAAAAACTATTGCTCAGTTTGATACAATTTATAATACCGGGCTTCCTAAACAAGCTATGCCAAGAGAGTCTGTTTCTCAAGCGGTGTACCACTTGAAGTAATAGCATTTATCTGTTTGTTATAAGCATAGAATTAATTTACAGACTTCTGGAGGTACTAGAAAAATATCACTTTCATCTAAGGAGAATAGAGGCCATTTGGGTGAACAAGACACATTCAGTTTTTTTGCAGGTAGACTTCCATAGTCATCACTTTGTTTGCTATATTTGTTCATAACAACAAAGCGTTTATTCCACATTGATTTTAGCTATGAAATAACATGCTGCTGCTTTGTTGATCATCATTTAATTTTCTCAGGTGACCAGAAATGTTGCTGCAGGCTAGGTGCAGCAGTCAGGGAGGACCGAGTGTGAGGGGCTAATGCAACTCTGCTGTTGTACGAGCTAGCCTGACACGCGTGTCTCCCTGAGGGGTGCTGACAGTCGGAGAGATATGGATCCCTTGTTAAAGCTGCCTGTCTTATACCATCTGTAAAATACTTAACTTAGAAAACTGCAAGCAAGATTTTTTTATTTTGGCAGTGCTTGTATGATGAATTTGGTTAAAATTATATGGAATGGAGACTGAAGGGATATTCTTTAAAAAAAAAACAAACCACCACACAAAACTGTTGAGTTTTGTAGGGATGAAAGACAAAAGCTTCTCATCTGTTAAAGCACACAATGAAAATATTGCAGCTGCCAGTTGAGAATGAAGGGTGAAATTGTTAATCATTTGTACTTTAAAGTTTTATTGGTATCACATATTTACTTGTAATATTTGCACATTAGAATCCAATTTTTAATATCTGTGTCTTTTGCCTGGCTGTTAGGCAGTTGAGCAGCTGAACATAAAACCAAAGAGCTACAAGGATCTTTTGACAGATGAGCCCTTCACTCGGCAAGACATTGTGACACTGCAGGTAAACTTCTCTCTCTGTTACATGTCTTACTATACAGCTTTTTTGCACACAATGAAATGTTGCTATGCACACTGTTATAACAGGACTCTGGAATAATTAAACAGAGGAACATTGTCTGTGTGTGTGTCTTGGAGATAGGTAGAAGGGGAATGACTGTATTTTCGTTGTTATCCAGATGAGGCACAAAGATGCCATATAATTTAGAGCTTGACAAATCTCTAGAGTGATTGTTATGTGCCTTGTAGATAAGCAAATTGTTCTGCTTTGTAAATTGATGGAGGAAAAAAAAACAAAGGTGCCCAGAAAAAGTCAAGGATGCCATGTAAAATGTGAATTTTGACAAAGGTATTTGTAGTTGCTCACTATTTCACTGTATCCAACTGAATATAAGATCTTGTGCATAATTGTAAGTTTTAGATACAAAACCACACAGAAGATTTTGGGGTTTTTTCTATTAATCTTACCTGAAAAAATTGCTGTGACACCTCCAGTTTATTGTGAGACCTAACAGAAGTGCATTGGGAAAAGACTGGGTAGAGGAAAGGTAAAGATATGTGCAGAATAATCTTCAACTCTAGACAGCCAACAGTATGTGGTCTACGTTATCAGAAGAAATGTGTTTTAGGCTGTCAAGTATATAAAATTTTAGGAAGTTGACCTGTTACATTAAGAGTGAAGCTCATTGTCCATCTTACTCTTTTAAAGATGCCTAAAAGGATCAAAGCTTCAGAAAGGATTTTTATACAATGTTTCTCTAAATGTAGAGTAAAATAAGCAGCAAACCAGAAGATTTTCTTTAAGTGCTTGCTTAGAATGGTTTTCTTCTGAATAGATACCAATGTTGGTCTTTTACTGATTTTATCAGAATTAAAACCCAAATTAAAACAGCATTGTAAATTTCAGAATGTAAAAGATAGTTATTTACAGATTAAGTTTAATATCAAAAGATCTAAAACTTGTTTAAAAGTAGGCATTTTTAAGCTTGCATGGTTTCAAAATAGGGGAAAAAAGATTCAAGGATCATTTTTATTTGAGTCAGGAGTTAGAATGCATCTCATGAACAGTTAATTGCCACTAACCAAGACTAATACAGTCTAATTTGAATAGAAAAATATTTTTCATTTATGTCTAAATTTAAATGAAATGTATCCCATCTTCCCTACTTCCCAGTGCTGAATGGCATGTTTATAAATATTTTTCCTCTATTCCTTTGAGCTTGTGACTGTTCAAGCTAATGCAACAAAGCAAAATGTTTTTAATCCAATGGAAGCAAAAAACATAGCTTTTTCAGATTGAAAGCTCCCAACAGAATGTTATTTGAATGTAACTGCATGGTTGCTAATGGATTTGGAACAGTAAAAAAAGACAACATGAGTGACTAGAAATGTTTCTGTGCATCAGTCTGGAAAACCAAATTATTTTGAACAAATAATTGAAGTGTGCAGTCATTTAAAAATATTTTGGTATATTTTGTAGGTTTCAGATTGAATATATATCTAAAGAGTGTGTTCCTGTTACACGCCTAGTTGTGATTTCTCATAAAAGTAAACAGATGCTATAGTCCCCTAAATCTTAAAATGCAATAGCTAGCTAGCTATTCACCCAATTAGTTTTTAATTTTTTTTTTTTTTTTCAAAAAAGGATTTTCAACAAACAGGCTAAAATGGCTTCAGGGTGTTGAATGAGAAATAAAAGCCATTCAATGCACTGCAAAACACCCACTGCAAACTTGCGAGTATCAAATGATGCCCTACTCTGACTTGCTTTGTTGAGGCCAGAATGCAAGCTAAAGTGGACTAACCTGGGTATTAAAATTGCTTATGTATATGTGATATGGGAATCTGTTATTATTTTCTTCATGTAAATTATTGAAAGACAGACCAATGTCTTTTCTACAAGCTCTGTTGTTGACAACACTGCAGGCAGCATAGTGGCTTCACACTGCCAAGCTCTACCACCTGTGGCTTTGTTTCTTCGCCAGAGTTCATGACTGCAATCTGTTGTGTTTCAATTTGTGGCTCTAGAGCTCTATCCCAAATCTCGCTTCTCCTAAAAATCTTTCAATTCTGTGTTGAAATTCATCATTTTGTTGTTTTCCCATTCCCCTGTGTAAATTGAGTACTGTGGTACCTCAGAGAGCTGGAATTGAGAGCGAGTTGGTAACACTGACCCTGCTGTTTGGCAAAAAGGTAGATATAAAGGAAGTTGCTATAAAAAACATTCTTTGCTTTGCAAATAAAAGCTGAATAGGACTGTCTGTAATGGCTGTGTTTATCAATAGAAAAGTATTTCCAGAGGCTGACTCTTAATGTCCTAGGAAGCAGATGAGGTACCTGTGTTTGGTAGTGAAATACAACATGATAAATGGAAAATTTGAATAATGTATGTTTACAGATTATTTCTATGATGACACTTTTCCTTATTGATACATAAAGGGCAATCCTACAGCTGCTAGGGTTATTGTTTTACCAGAATAGCAATTGACTTCAAACTTGACCTCTCTCTCCTAATGTATCTAATTAAAAACAAAACCAAAAAAATGTGCTCTTTCCAGAAGAGAGAATTTCATAAAATTCTTTGTTCCATTCTTGGTGCTTAACATTATTCAAACACTAATCATAATCCATCCTGTTATCTTTTCTGGTGAGCACCTTCTCAACTGGTTGCTTTGATTTTATTGATAGTTATTTGTGTCCTATTGCTGTTAAGTTTACTTGTTAAAAAGAACAAATTATTTTGGGTCTGAAACTAAAAAAAGCAAAGTCACAACTTAGTTGTTAATAACACTCTTAGGCATGCTTCTCTTTGTGAAGGAATCCACAGTGCTTCCTGTACTTACATATACAGAAATTGCTTTTTTCCCCTGTTGAAATGCAAATGTCCTGGCGTAAATTTTTCATCAACATATGGCGATATTATCCAGCCCCTCAGCACAGGAGGTAAAGAATAATACCATATCCTGGTGTGCAAGATACATTACCAAAACTGGAATGTAGTTATTCAGGCAAAAGATGTCATGGATTCTGGTTTAATATCTTGCTGATAATGACAGAAATACACGTGACATTATTCCATATGAAACCCTTCCTAGACACCAGCAGTTTTAGTATGACTGGATTTTTTAGCTCTTTACCCTCAAGTTGAAATTTCCTTTTCTTAGCTGTGTGATCTTGTCACAAACTCAAGTCAAGCTTTCCATCTTCTACAGTGCAAGTGTAGAATTTGCAACTTTTTTCCAAGTTTCTTTCTCCTCACAGTTTGTCATTACTTCAGATAATTTTTCTCTCAACTGTACTGGTTCCTATCTCTTCGAAATAGAATATTGCTGTTGTATTTTGTCTGTGTTTCTAATAACTCTAAACCCACTTGTATTCTTTTACCTTGAAAGATGATCAGCTGAGCCTAACTTAACATCCCTTGCAAATGTCATTAATGTGCTACCAGCTGACAGACAGCTCAAGTACTTCAAGATTTATTAGTTACACTTAATGGGTAAGGTATGATGTAAAGCACTTAGAGATCTGTAGGGACAGGGTATCTGTAATAGGAAGAATGGTGGTATCAAAGTGTGTTTGCAGTGTTCTTACCTCCCTTTTCTGCTTTCAATTCTGGTACATTACTGTTCATCATTTTACTTTGCAGTTGTTTTAAAGGTAGGATTCAGTATAGCTTTGAAAGAGTTTTGATGTAAGAAGTTTACATTAGACTACAATTCAGAACTAGGTGATTCTTTCAGTCCTATGGTTTACAGGTTTTCAGCTAGTTTTCAGTCTAAATGTTTAACCTAATTTGAAGTTACCTTTCAAGTAAATTTTTCTGGGGGTGTGAAATTCAGTGTTAGATCTCAAGGTCTGCTGTCCACCATTTAATCCTTTTGACAAAATCTGGTCTACACTCTGGTAGAAATTATTATTAATTAGTGTTACTTTAAATTTTGTGTGTGTTTCAGTCATATATTTTGCAAAATATTCTCTGTGTGATGAATGGTGTGGAACTTAGAAGCAAGCACATAAATAAGTATAATCTGGATTCCCTTGTGTAAGAGTGGGCAGGCTGAAGTAAGCACCTGCCCCAGCTCAGGATGCACGGAGAGGAACAGGGTTAGGTAGTGCTTTGTGGGACACGATGGTGGGCTCTGACAGTCCTGTGGGCTTCTTCCCATCACAACAAGTGTGGGAGAGTCCTGAAGAGAGCAAAGTATGCTGCAATAACCTGCTTTTACATCCCCTTTGGTAGGAAGCGTTCAGAGGAACTAAGAACAATTTCCCCTTTAGTCCCCTGTCAATTCTTCGTCCTCCACTGTGTCTCTGTTTGCAAACCAGAAACCACGACTCTCAAATTGGTGAAGATACAGCAGAAATTATTCCTGCTCTGGAAACTCTTGGAAGCCAGTGCTGGGCTATGTGCTGGCAGGGAAGGGGAGTTAGTGAGAAGTGGGGCTCAACTCAACAGCAGTGCTTGCAGGTAAAGCAGAGGCAGAGGTGGTCTGTTCCTCTTTACCGGAAGAATTGGAATAAACCCCCTCAACTCTGTTGTGCCAGTGGTAATGGGCACAGTCCTCTGGTGGCAGCCTGCTGAGAGCCTTCCCTGATAGATGCGCGCTAACAAGTGCATCTGCTTTGCACCACAGAAATAGAGGGGAGTTCCTGGGAGAAATAGATAGACAAAAAAAAAAAAATCTGGGTAAAATGCAAGCAGGTTTGCTGCTGTTAAAGGAAAAAAAAGGGCTCATACTGTTATGTGCTTCCTTATGTTGATTTTATTGTTTCTGTATAACCTAATCAGCCATGGACAAGACACGGTTTCTGACAAGCTGTTAAACACCATTGGCATTTGTGGCAGGAAGCATAACTAATGAGCTAAGCTGGAGGTGGCTGAGCTGCATGCTATTAATTGCTATTTTCACTCCTCAGCTATTTCTTGTTTGCTCTTTGTGTGGCAGAAGGTCAGAGCAGATTTCCTCTCGGTTGTGGGTCAGGGCTCTTTGAGGGCGAATCCTGCACCAATGCATGTGCAGAGTGGCTGGCAAAGAAGTGACGTGTTGGGACGTGGCCGGCAGATAAAGGTAACAGTCCTGAAGATAATTAGTGATGCAGTATGGCCAACCAAATGGTAAGAGAGGAATCAGGCCTCAAAGAAATCACACAGTCTAAAACTGTGCTGGTTTTAACCTGCTTTTCTGGGGAGGGGTGTGTGTATGGGACTGAAGATTAACGGAGTTTAAGCTGTTTCTGTAAGTAGGTGAAACCAGAAAATGGTAAGGAAAAAAACAAGTGGAATAAAACTTGGGATTGTTTTAACAGCTCAGCTTTCAGGAAAACATCGAATATGAGATTTTTAATAGTCATGATAGTTTGCAACGCTTTGAAGTCTGTATCTGTGCTAGTAATTTGCTGAACTAAAGTTTATGGTTTGTAACCTTAATAAGAAAAACCCTGAGACTGATGCCCATGGTAATTTGAATACATATTTTTAAACATGCTAAGACAAACAAAAGTAGGGCAGTTTACTCTTCATGGTTCATCATCCTTTCTGGTTTCTGTGCACTTACACAGGACTTATTTCTTTAGACCTTTGGGCTCTAGGCCTTAATCTTAACACGATGGGGAGCATCCCCATGAGACCAACCTTTCTCTGACCAGGAGCGGCCATTAATTCATTAGAGCTTAAGGCTCTGACGATGTGGGTATGTGCGTCTGCCTGTCCCTGTGGTGTCATGGTTGGGCTTCTCTGATTCTGTGCCTAGTAACTGTCATGGATGCAATGAGAGGAACTTGGCAGGCTAATTATTAGTGTTTATACAGTTTTCTTCCTGAAGTGATATGTCTAAAGACTATGTGCACTTTTAAAATTTACATAGACCTGCCTTTAAAAAATGTGTATCTTGTGTTGTAGGTCTCAGTACCATCAGTAAGGAAATGGTTTGTGTCTTCTGCAGCACACATTGGACTGGTCAGATGTGTTTCTGCTCTTGGGGACAGTAGAAGCAAATGGTGTCTTGTGTTTAACTTAATATTTACTGCAGTACTGTCACACTTAGTATGTGCATTTGTCTAATTCTAATCAAACTTCTCCTAGTGTATCGTGATGCTGTATTTTAGAGGGAGGAATCAATACGTCAACCACTTGTCCTAGGTGTCCAGTGTAAGATGACACTTAAATTTCAACTTGAGGAACCATTTTTGACAGTTTTTTTCACTGGCAGAGGGAAACTGGTTTTGGAGTAGGCATGTGGGTGGTTTGCCTTCTTGATGCGTGGTGAGACTCCTGCTTTGCAGAATCAGGAACACAAGGGACAACACTGTAAATCAAACCTTCGTCAGTTTGAACAAATGGCCCACCTGAATGGGATGAAGGACCTTGTGCGGAGGACCTTGGTCTCGGTTCTGGGGTTTGGGGTTTTCTTGAGTCTCTCAGAAAGCAAATGGACGACAGTGGTCTGCAGGGAGAGGGAGCTGCCCCATGGCCTCTGCTGTCCTTCATACCGTAAGGGATGTGTTGCCTATGGGGAGGTTAGCAGCAATATGGAGAGCCCTGAGAAGTCCCTTGCAGGGAAGGAGACTGTGAACATTTTTCCCTGGAGTTGCTCAATGCCTGCAATTAGGCTGGTTAAGCCAGGTAAACGTTTGAGTGAACTGTGGCTGTGCAACAGTTTGAACTAATCTGATTCATGGTAACTGAGCACAAAACACTTGGTTTGATAAGGCACTGGCAGTTGTGATATCCTTTTACTTATTTTTAAACAATCAGTAAATCAGTAACTCAGGAAGCTTTATTGAGAGGAATACAGTGAAGGTGTTTTCTGGTTCATCTTTACTGCTGTCTCCTGCCCTCCCTCCTCTCCATGAAAAGTTGATTTCAGGAGCCTTGCTCTTCAGCTTTGCCATGAACAGCAGACATGTGGATTGCTGTAAACCCATTTGCCCCTATTAATATTAATACACTGATTATTTTTTTCCTTTCCTGGAAAGGGTAAGCAGTCTTACTTCCTTCACCTTTTGAGGTGGTACGTTTATGTGCAAGGCGATGATTTCTGTCTGGGAAAGCTGCAGCTCATGATTACTGAAGAGCATTTGGGAGGAGGCAGGCAACCTGTGTCTTCTGGAAACACACTGAGCCCTTTCTCCAGATTTTCTCCATGCATCTTGTTGACTGTCAGAGAGCAAGGCTGAGATTATCTCTATTCATATATACATAAATATGCATGTGAGGTAGTAAATAATAAATACACTTGAGTGCTGGTGTCAGAGGATACAAAAATGGTTAAAAAACAGTTTCAAATTTCCTGTTCTTCAGTAGTTTTATTTAAAGATTATCTGTTTCTAATGCAAGATCTTAAAGATAAAATATCTTTTTTTTTTGGCAGTCCATGTCTTGATGAAGGTCTATTGAAGGGGTATAGTGGGGCAGGAAACAGTAGAAGATGATTATATAGTGGTTGGGAAGGGGGACTGCAGGTCATCATCAGAGTGCAGAATCACACAGCTTGATTTCATAAATGTGTTTTGGTTTTACTACCAGCAGTAAAACTAAAAATGCAGTCTTTGGTGGAAGCATACCATTTCAGGGATTAATAAAAGGCATAATTAGATCATTTAATAAGTGATGGAGCTATGAACTCTGCCTGTATTAATCATTACTTTTAGCAGAGATGGAATTGTCGGAACTTCTTACTAATAGTGGTGGTCTGAGAAGCTTTGTTAAATTTATATGACATAACACTATTCATGTCAGTGTCATAGTTCTTTGCATAATGTGTTGCATTATTTTTATCCTGAATTTGAAACTATTTCATATTATAAAGATATTTTGGTATTTTAGATTTTGAATTTTCTGTAAGTTTTCTGTAAGTTAGAATTTCCAGAAATGACTGCCTGTGCTGGGCTGATGTTTTGACCTTTCTGTGCTGCAGAGCAGCTTGAGGAGAAAACCTTGAAGTCATTGTAAGAAGAGGATTAAGGACTGTTTAATAATAGTATAATGTAACCTAGATCACCAGTAGGCATTCCTTGTCTCGCTCTCCCTAATAAAAGGTCAAAGTTATACAGAAAGTTTCCTAGAGATAGTATAAAGGCTCACAGTTAATGGACTGTGTATTTTGCTGTTTCCTTGAGTGGTCACTCAATAGAGGTTTCATAATAGCACTTTTTGTTGCTTTTTTAATGATTACTTTTTATTTTTAAACATAATTCTGTAAGCACAGATTTCACTAGTAAAAAAATAAACAGTTAAACCAGTTCTGACTGCAAAGACTTCCTCTGAGGTTTATTTGTATTTTGAAATGCATTACAAAAGTTCACAGAGCACGTGCAAATCAGGCACACTTTTATAAATAGAAGGAGATAGCTAATGTGAATTTGGATAGATCTTAGACCAAACCACAGAATGAAGGGAAGAATCAAGGGATTGCAGCTCCTTGTTCTTTCTTCTCACTAGGATAGGGTAGACTCAGCTTAATTCTGTTAGTAACTTCTGTAGGCAAAATATGTGTATTATTATCTTTGGGACTAAATTCCAGATTCTTAAGGAGCCTACTGTGAACACAGGCTCATTGCTGATGTCAGTTGGGGTTGATTGCTTTACATTTTTTTTCATCTTTCTGTGGTTTGAGCAGTATGGAGGTTATTCTGTCTCTCCCCATTCATTTTATATGGTGGTGTCTGCCCTTCAAACTAGTCTGTTGCATGGAGTGGCTGCCTACCAAGCTCTCTGACGTTTGTTTTTTTAATTATTATTTTCAGGATCCAACAAACCTGGATAAGTTCAATGTCTCAAACTTCTTTCATGTTAAGAACAACATAAAAGTAATTGATCCAGGTAAGGATGAATTGAAGGTAGGCTGAGAAAACACCAACCCAAATATGCAAATTCTAAAGATGATGTTATGGAATTGACACTTGTTTTCTGGATGGACATCCCTCAGCGGCCAGTGGTAACTTTGAAAGCTTCTTGGAAACATGAATAACTTGTTGAAACTGTACTTTTTACATCAAAAGGTGTTAACAGATTTTGAAGCAAAGACATGATTCTTTGAGAAATTATTAACTGTCTCTGTTGAGTGCTGTGCAAACACAGAAAGTTTTACATATCCTTTAAGAGTAAGTAGATGAGAGAGAGGTGAGAAGGAGAGGAAAAATAATTTGCCAAAAGCTCTGTTAGCCTTGTGCGAGAACCAAGACAAGGAAACCTACATCTTCTCTTACCTATCTGCTCCTGTCTGCCAGGCTGTCTTTCATGTGTATCAACAATGTATTGCCCATCCTTCTGTCTGGATAATAATGGACATCTTCCAAGTTAAAGATTGATACATATTTTTCTAAAATAGTCCCAAAATTATTTTAATAATTAAAATACCATACTTTTTTTCTTTCTAGATATCTAATAAATTTCCTTCTCAATTCTTTTGTGATTTTAGATAGCTAAATGCTTTGTAATATCTGCTAATATTAAATTGCTGAAGGAAAAAAATTCTCTCTTTGCCCTTGTGATTTCCTCTAGAACTGTTTCTAATGATGTCTAATTGCTGATTCTAAGCATGATGTGTTTTTGTGGGTCTTACTATGCCCATCTGTTGTGTTGTGTGGTTTTTTTTTTTCAAAGCTACTAGTTCTGCAAGCATCTCTCTATTTACCCGCTAAAAATCAGTGGGTATTGTCTCAGAGATGGCATATTTAATATCCAGCAAATAATAGCCATACCAAAAAAAAGTAATCAAATTCAACAGTCTGGTCCACTAGCCTCCCCACCCTGGTATCACATTAAAGATCTGATCTTGCAATTTTTGCATCACAGACCTGGCCATTCAGTGAGGAGACAAAAGACCGAAGTTTATATTGTACCCAAATGTATCTTGTCTTTATTGTTCTATGAAAATTTTACAAGACTTGCATGAACTAGTTGTTTCAAAGAAATTTTTGCAGTAGTTGATTTGAAGTTGGTTTTTTCTTTTGTTATACTTCATCATATTGGCATTTATTGTGCTATGTTTCAAGTCATACTGTCATTAGTGTTACACATTGCTATTTGTTACTGTTCCTGCAGGAATAAATATAGTTACTAGACCTTTTTATTTTAAAAAAAAGGTAGAAATAGTATCTGGAAGATTTTTGTGTAACTACATATGTAATAAACTGAAGGAGAACAAAATAGAATTTTTCTTTTAACTCTGAAAGATTTAACTTTGTCTTATCTAGATGAAGAAAAAGCAAAATTAGATCCATCTTACTACTTGAAAAATACAAATACAGAGACGCGAGAGACTTTACTGGAGCTTTATAAGGAATTCAAAGGCGATGATATTCTAGCAGCTACTATGAAGGCGCCTGAAAAGAAGAAAGTGGATAAGCTGAATGCAGTAAGTTGACTAAATTTGTAGTTTGGCACTGATTGACTTCTTCAAGAATGGGAATAGATGTTTTTCAGCTTAGAGGCCATATTGCAGTATAAACAGACACTACTACTCCTGTTTTCAGTTACATGGAAATTTGTCATAGATGAGAATATGAGAATTATATTGGGATTCCTTAGAAATACATTGTATGTGTCAGTGAGTTTCTCTTTATTAAATCATTGTAAATGAATCTCAACATTTTAGGAATGGAGCACAATAAGAAGGAAGAATCTTTGTGATGTGGTTATGATGTATATGCTGGCAGAACCTTTTTTCCCAGGTTGTAATCTCTTGCTTTGAATTTGTTTATCATTGCTTCCTGCAGTTACTGGCAGAGAGAACACACCTTAAGAACAGTGCAAGTGAATAATTTCTCGTGTGGGCAAATAAGTAAATAATCCACAGCTCCTTCTCCATTTTTTTCTGCTGGAATGCAGGATTTTTAATGGAATATTTTAAAGGATATTCTTCCAGGTGCATATTGCTGTGTGTTCGTGATTGTCAAGAGAAATAATTCAGCTGTATCTAGATTTCCTACATCAAAGGGTGTTTGGAACAGGCAAAACAGAGTATTCTTCTTTCCTTTAATAATTTTGGGGTGTCTGTGTCTTTGTGCTTTGATTACACTTACACGAAAATGAATAGCAAAGCATATGGCTTTTAATGAGGAGGCTAAGTGACAGATTAGGGAGTGTATGTGACGAAGGAGCGGGATCACATTTACCCCTTTTTCAGGGCATCATAGTGTTATAAGAAAACAAAAGATGTAGGGAGAAAAAAAGAGTTGAGAGACAACAATGAGCTCTGCACATGTTGGAGAGTCAGATTGCCAGCTAATGATGTGGATGGTCATAACTATAAACTTGCACAGGATGCAGCGTAACCTTACGGACAGAGCATTGGCCGGACCTGTATTGTTTACAGGCATTGCCCTAGAGCTGCTAAACATATCTCTGGGTTTATGAGATCTTTGTAATTTACTACAAAATCCATATGTGACGTTCACATTTCCTTTCTGCAGGAGAATTACAAGGCTCGAAGTAGACATTGGGAACCATGGGACAGTGCCTCTGCACACAGAAAGGCCATGTGTGTTGGGGGGGTTGCTTTCCTCTGCAGTATCTCTCTGGTTCACTGGATTTTCCTTCCACTTAACATTGGAGAATTTTACAGATATCTTGCCGGCAGTACTCCTTTCATATCTCTACCTGTGGACATACAAATAAATTCTCATAATAGAGTCTTTGCATAATGATGTATTAAACTGTAGTGGATGCAATAAGCCCCTTCAGTTCATCGCATGGGCAGCCTTAACTAGCGTTTCATCAGAGCAAATGTTATGGGTAACAGATGGAGAATTATCGCTGCATCATGCGTTTGTTTCTTTGTATAGGAGCTAGAGCGGAAAGTCTGCCTTCAGAAGGATGACATCTGTGTGTTTCTAGTGCTTATATAGTATTTTTAGTAGAAAAATTCTAAGATCTAATGTCCTTTTGTCTTGCTTTTTCCTCTGCAAACAGGCTCACTATTCCACTGGAGCAGTAAGTGCTTCCTTCACGTCCACTGCAATGGTGCCTGAAACTACCCACGAAGCAGGTACCAGAACTACCTAGCTACAAACTGTTTATTTACTTTCCAGTTTTAAAGTGTGCTCCCTAGCACACATATGTTTATGAGGACTGAAGGAATGCATTGTTAATTGGTCAGTACTGATGCCATGGAAATGTATTCCCTGAGCAGATATATCATTACTTTCCACTGAGCTCATTCTGAAAATAGTGGAGCAATTATGAATTAACTTCGGCTTTGAATGGCAGTTACTTATGTTGAACTGAAATGAATGAGGTATTTTCTGTGCCCAGGGACCACAAAATAGGATATCCACTTATGTAAGTTAGGAATGAAGTATAATCTCTCCTCAAATAGCATACCAAATCTTTACCACCTTTTTAGCCTGACCCGGTATTGGTTAGAATGACAGCAAATTTTGTGGTGATAACTTTTGATTTACTGCTTTTCAGGGTTACACAAAAATGCATTTTAGTACAAGAAAGTTTTCCTTTCATTCTCCAGCCTAAACACAAATGTATAGAATTTATTTGATGTGAATATTGATTAAATAGCTGAGCAATTAGTGTTCCCAGTTGAAGGAAAAGGTTTGGGTTTTGGCACTAAAATTTAGAAGTATGTCACACACTTAGGCAAAGATTGAATACATTGCTAAAATTACGTTTACCAAGTTCAGCTCCTTTACGTGGTGGATTACAGTGATTTGCAGGTGACTCTTTGACTGTTGAAAATATCTGACTAACTGGATGTTTTGACAAAATGGAAGTGGAAGCATCCTAGATTGATCCTTTGGTTTGACTTTCCAGTAATGTTTCCAGCAACAGCTTTATTTGTTTTCAGAACTGGGTAGGTCCTCATATGTCTGCAATTTGCGGTTGACTGATGCTACCTGCTTGACTTCCAAGTTTGACAAGAAACAATTTGGTTTCAAAGTAACGTTCATGATTGGTAGATGTTACTTGAAAATTATAGTTTATAATATTGAATGCTTCTGTGACTTAAAAATATAGATGATATTGTTGGCTCTCAAGGAGTTGGTGGTTTTCTATAATGGAAAGTGTTTTGCACAGAGATTAATGTGAGGTTATCATAGAAGAATTGCAAAGTATAATCCCTGAAGACTCGGTATCCCAGGGGAAGAGATCAGACAGTAGAATCTAGCGATTTGTTTTCTGATGATTTATAAAGATCAATGAGTAAGCTTCCAAAGAGCTAATTATTGTCTTTTGCTTTGATACAGCTGCTATTGAAGAAGATGTTGTAAGATACAAATACGTGAAGAAGAAGGGCTATGTGCGACTTCACACTAATAAGGGAGACCTAAACTTGGAGCTGCACTGTGATATGGTACTGTGTGCCCTGTAAGATGAATCTGTCTAGATAACAAACAGAATAGAAGTTGGTAATGGAAATGTCCAAAGAAAGGACTAGTGTATAGTTGTAGTAGATACAGATAAATAACTAGCTTTCAGTTGTTTTAGTGTGTTTTCATACGTACACAAAACTCCATTGTAAAATGTATGTATATTATTTTATGTATTCTACTATATGTATAAATGTTCTCTGTGAGTCGTGGCATACATTTTAGTGGACTACTTAAAATGTGTCAAGGTACATGTTTAGAGCTTCAAAGGGTCAGGATTATAGTGACCCAAACAATTACAAGGAAGGTAGAGAGAAAAAAGAAGGAAGTGCACAGAGAAGAGAGAATAACCCAAGGTCACACAACAGGTTACTGGCAGAAACAGGAAAAGAAGTTTAGTGAAACTGAGAGCAGTCTGTCAGCCTGAGTACATGTAGTTAAGATTCCCAAAAATGGTTAGATTTGCTTCTAAATCCTAAGATTTACAGAACAAACCTAAATGAAAACCTTAGAATATGTTTTTTACTTCCTGCTATCTCAGTTTTTAAGGTTCAAATTTTCAAACGTCTTCCCTTTGCCATTAAGAGGAAAACATTCATTTTAAAAAACAATGAACTGTTTTTTTTTATAGTCAGTACAGTCTGATTCTGGGGGAAATCTGTGGCTCTTAAAATAATAAACATGGCAAGACTTATGATAGGCGGATGAGTTGTGGTGACACTGATGTCTCAGACATCACTGCTTGCTAGTGTGCTTGCTTATTTATTTGTACAACCACAGCTATAAAAGGAGAAAAGTTTTCAATGTAAAAAGCCCAAACCTTCTGTTGTTTACTGAGATTTTTATCTCAGGAGATTATAGGCCCGAAGGTAGATGTTTTAGGAAGTTGAAGGATATGAATAGGGGTTTAAATGGTAAAACTTCTGCTTGTTGTGACCCTCACAGAATTTAAGGACAGTAGTGCTGGCTAGGAACTGGGGTGCCTGGTGTGAAATCCAGAGATGCACTGGGATAATGCATCCTTTTTTGCCTGGGAGAAATAAAAAGGAGCAAACAGGACAAGGCTGCTACCTTTCCATTCTTTTCCTTTCTCTCACACGAGTAAGGAGCAAGATGTATGTAAACATCTCAAACTGATCTATGGAAACAGTTTGAGAATAACCACAGCAGCCTATCATGGTAGTAGTTCTGTAGGTCCCTGTCATCCCTACAGGTGTTTTCCATACTCTTAAATAGTAACACTATGTAATAAGGCAAAAAGCAGAGGATGTTAGTACAGCAATATTTGGGGGAAGCAGCAGAATGAGCAGATTGCACTGAATCATTTGTTTTGCCTTATGTTCTCAAACTGGCTCCTGGCTAACACAGGCTGACTGCAGCTATTCTTACCAGCATGGGTTTTTTGGCCACATGTGTGACCAGTGTCACTCAGTCCTGAGGACCCAGTCTCAATTGCCCATTATAAACTTCCTGTATGATATCCATTGTGTTTCCTTTTTTCCAGATGAATTCCTATTCATCTCCTCTTCACACACACTGCTTCCTCATGTACACATTGGAAGCGTGCACTGTTTTATACAACCAGACCTGCTTGAACAGTGGCCCTTAGCCATCTGTTTCTTTCATTGTGTCGATTAAATCTGTGTGAATTAAGCAGACTTTTGGCACTCTAGAGGGGAAAAAGATATATATTTAGAATAAGTAGGAAAAACTTGCTGCTTTAAGGAGGTTTTCACAACATCCACTTTAGGTCGTCATCCTAGGTCTATTAAGTCAGTTCTTCCGGGAGGCACTTGTTTTTCTCCCTTTACTATATAAGGAGTTTGTGCTTCTAACTGTGGTTTTCCTGAATCACACTGAGGTTAGGCACATAAGGTAGCTCAGTGCAGATAGGGCAAACATCTTACAACCATAAACACATATACGGGTCACAAACATATACACAGATCAGCTACAGTGCATTTATTGAAATTGCAAAGACAAGACATAGAAAATGAGGAAATGCCAAAATCAAGCACTGAGACTTCAATTGTATTTTCATGCCTATGGGCTGTATTTAAGCAAAATATTCTTGCAGTTGTACTCTCAGCAGTCTGTGCAGCTTCTGAAGTCTACCCAGTATCTCTTTGTCTTCAGTAACCCCCTTGGGTTCTTACTCCCTCTCCCTTCACAGCTCTTCTGTGTCCTGTTCTTCCTTTTCCCTGTTTTTTGTGAGCTATCTGGCAGTATGCGTTTTTTGGAGTTCAATCTGTATCTATACATGGAAACCTTTGTTGAAGAATAAATCTAGGGATCTTCATATACTAGTACTTTAATGTGCCAATCAATAAGATTGATAGTGATGAGATTCTTCCTAGCACCAAAAACCTAATCAAGAAATGTTTTGTATTGATCCAAGGGAGGAAATCAGTGCTGCAGTGTGATTGAAGTCATCAGTTACTTTGTGACAGGATTCAGAAGGAGAGCATGAAATACAGCTAGAATCCAGATATTTTCTGTGTTTGAAATCACTTGTTCAGAGCACCAGGAAACTTCACTTAGATTCCAGAAAGATGATGTGTGGTTTAAGTCATTGACCTGAGAAAAGGCAATAAAAAGACTTTGGAAGATAAGCTAGATTTTTTTCCACCCTTTTGAATGTGTGCCTCAAATGAGCAAAGGTACACTGCTCTCTCTTTGCATCATAGCAGTGTGCCTAGTGCTCTTTGTTGCCATTTGTTTTTCTCCCAGTTGTCTTATTCAGATACAGTATGTTCCTCCTGATGGGGACTAATGAGATGGCCATTTGTTAGCGACGTTTTCCAGGAAGCTGAGTTCAGCTGGGCATAGGCAACATTTGTTGTATACACTAATTGGAAACAAATTTACAAAAAAATCTACTTGCCAGAGCATCCAACAAGTGTTGTTATTTCAGCTCTAGTCTTATGCATTATCAAACAAATTATGAAGAAATAACTGATGAAAGGCAATGAATGTCACTGGGTTTCTTGTATTTTATTTACTGTGATTTTTTTCTAGTCTCCTCAAGTTCTTTTAACTCCTTTAATCAGGATGCTGCTGGGAACAACTGTCTATATCATCTGTGTATCTTCTGCTGTATTAGTCACTATAGTGATGCCATTATACATTGCGGGTGGTGGAGCAGCCTCCTAAGGCAGGGTGGAGGCTTTACCCTGTGCAAAAAGTCAAATTGACTTGGATATGGAGGTAGAAAAGCAATGTGGTGTAATGCATAAAGTGGAGAACCAGGCACTGGTAAACCCTGAATTCTGTGCCTTTGCCACAGACTTGCTGCATGATGTGGCTATGTCATTAGGTTATGGATTTTTTTAAATCAGTGGCTATGTCATTTTTTATTTCACAATGAGCAATAAATACGGGCATTGTTTTGAATTCCCAGGCAATAACATGTATCACAGATGTCTGATTGCTGGAGTGCTGCTACTCGAATAACCTAGGCTGCCTGTTGGAATCGGCAGCCTTGCATAAGAATAGATAGAGTAGCAGACTCCTAGTCTCTGCACCTGTGAAAGGGAATAAAAATTCCTGCCTTTGCCTCTAGGTTGCTTTGACGCTTTCTTGTTTAGTGCGTGTACTTTTTTATTTCCATTGTTCCATGGAAATATAGATATATAAAAATTTAACACTCCAGAAGACCCTGTCAAAGTGATGAACAGGTGGTTTGGTGTACTATCTCCCTTCTTTCCTTTGTGAGTTCTCCTCATACAAGTGGTCACTCTGGGATAATGATCTGCTGGTTAAATACATGCTGATAGCAGTAATTGAATACTAATCCGTAACTGCCATGGCAGTTTTTGTAAATTCGCCTGTCTCTCTCAGGTTTAATACTTTAAGGTTTAAGGGCAAGTTGGCATAACAAAGAAGAATGTGAGGTGGATTTCAAAGCTCCATCCAGCACTCCACAAATGCTTTTTGAGGTTTTAGGACCTGGCAAACGCTGTTTAATGATGGTGTCTTGGCATAACTATCTGAAGAAGCCATTATTCTACAAACACTGATGTTTTAATCTTTTGAGGCCCTCTGACCTGTTAAATATGCCTGTGATCTATAAATGTGTGATCCAGCCCCTCTTCTTTGAAATCGTCTCTCTCTTTGTGTGAGGGACTGTTCTGAAGATCAGAAGCCTGTAAACTTCTTATCCATTTCCAGTGGGAAAGAAGTGAGTTGCTGAAAAAAATCCTTTGACTTCTAGCACGATGAGGTTCCCCAGTCTTCCTGAACCTCTCATTTTCCTTCTGACTTAAACGTCCATTCTACTCAATTTCTGTCAGCGTCATCATGGCGCTGTCTGGCAAATAACGGGCTGATGTTTTACCAGTGTCTGTTCACTCAGTAATATGGTTGTAGGGATGAAGTACAGTGGTCTTGGCATGGTTGTAAATGGCTTATTTCATATTTTTTCATCAAAATAGGTCATTGTAGGAAGAGCTGCAACTTCCAATTTTGAAAGTTCTTGTCAACAGAAACTGAAAACAAACAAAACTGTCCTTTTCCAATAGGAGAACAGCTGGATAAAAATGTTTGTTAGAGAGGATGTTGTTATTTCTTGGTGTGTTTTTTGCTCAAAGGGCTACAATGGCAGACAGATCTATTGCTCTTCTTTGTGGTTGGGAGTGGAATGGCTCTGCACAGCCATATTGATTAATAGGTCACTTCTAGGTTGTTCTTAAGTGACTAGAAACTAGTATTTTAAATTTTTTTAACTTTGAGGGTGTAACACCCATGCTTGAGAAAGGAGAAACGTTTTCATGCAAGATGTTAGTAGGAAATGCCTTATCTGCTATCATGTGCTTGTCCTCGGTGCTGTTTTGTAGCAGTGAAGGGGCAGTGGGAGTCCCTGATGTCCCTCACTGCCCATGCCTGAATGGGACATTCAACATAGAGTTGAGGAAGGTGCTCGGCCACCTCCCTGTGAACCTATTCCTGCACCATGGGGCTTGCTGCCTTTGGCTGTCTCTGTGTG